GTGTGTGTGTGTGTGTGTGTGTGTGTGTGTGTGTGTGTGTGTGTGTGAGAGAACAGTTGCACCCTGGAGCACTGCAGAAAGAGCAGAAGATGATGCATCTCTTACATCATGTCCTTTTTTTTTTTAATCTATCCTTTTTGACAAAAGGAGCTGAGACGAGCTCTTTTACCTCCACCATGACACACAGTTACCTGGCAGTTATTTTCTGACACACACACACCTCACACTCACTCTATCTCACTCTCACTTTATCTCACACTCATTCTCACACACACAATGTGGAAGTTTGCACATTTGTAGTCCTATCTGTTAGATCTTGCTGTTGTGTTTTGCGTGCATTTGATATTTGTTAGCCCAACGATACTGAATTAGCCGCAGTGAGCTAGCAACTGTGGACCTGTAGCTGGTTTGGCAGTCTCACACGACATCACCATGGTAGCTTTGGCTTCATAAATAGTCTCTGGTGTAGAGCGTGTTTTTGCCATTTAATCCAAACATAAAATACCCGAGTACCAGTTAACTTTCCAGATAAATGGTACGAAATATTATTATTCCTAGATGGGGCCATGAACTCGATGCAGAAATGGAAAAAAAAAAAAGGCTGTTAGCAAGGACCTCATTTGCTTCCTCTGATTTTGAAAAGATAGAATAAATTAAAGTAATGTTTCCAGGCATTTCACTCTCTTAAAGATATTAAGCAGCATGCGGCTCATATTAAATGATAAGAATTATAAGTGTCTTCTTGCATATTGAGGAGAAAACCCTGTCTTATACACAGTCACTCCATTCAAACAGCTCTTGGCTCTGTTTTTTATTCCTGCAGATAACCGGTGAGGTCTTAAAGGAGAAATGGGCAGTGTATATTAGGCTTTAGTGTCAGAAGTAAGGTCTTTTGTCAAGATTCAACAATCATTCATGAACAAAATCAATCTTAGAGTCCACTTCATTCGACCAGTGGCTTCAGTGGTCCATGTAGTGTTTTGTGTTTGGCACAGTTCTTGTTTTTGCACTGCTGGCAGCAACAGATTCATCGACATTGCTGTATCCATCCGCAGCGATTGCAGGTTTTAATTTGGCCCACTTGCTCCTAACTATGAACATCTCAAGTGAGGCAGTTCATATTTTCCATCTATCTGTTATGCTGTTGTGGGTTGCAGGGGGCAGTTTATCACTTGACTGACACACAAACACATTCACAATCACTTTTCTTCAGATCACTTAACCTACATGTTCCCTGGATTATGTGAGGTAATCCAAAAGCCAAGGTTGAGGAAAACATGAATACTCCATACAGAGCTTGTTGGCAGATTCAAACCCACAACCCTTTTTGCTGTGAGGAGATTGTGATAGTAACAGTAGTAGTTGTTTTACAAAATGATGAAGAGGGGAAACATCTTGGTCAAACTAACAAAACACAGTTCCCGCAGAGGTAAATACAATAAAATTGGAGGTTAAATTAAGGTTTTCAGGGAACAAAGCTGCTTCAGAAGTATTAATAATCTTATTGGTTAGATTAAATGGTCAAGTTTTTCTTGCCCCGAAGCACAGAATGACCACAATACATTGTGTGTGTATGTGAGGGTCAATACCAATTACTTCACTATGTGCTAAGATTTCTGACTTTGAAAACTCACTTCCCAGCCCTAATTTAATTTAATGCTATTATGTTTTTGTTCCAGCTTGCTCAGGATGAGGGCAGCCCAGTTCGAGGTTTCGGTGTGGTGGAGTACGAATGCGCGGAGCAGGCGGAGGCTGTGCTGGTAGAGATGGACCGAACACTGGTGGGAGGACAGGAGGTCCGTCTGTCAATCTGTACCCCCGGCACCTCAGGGAGAAGCACCCTGGCTGCACTCATCGCCGCCCAGGGTATGGTGAGTATGAAGCACGGCGCATATGTTCAAGAAAACATTGATTTTCTTTGTAGAAACATGTCCTCAATTCTTAAAGTCTCACCAAAACATCGGACTACCCAGGGTTACATGTACACAAGCAGACATGCTATTTGTGAAGCCAGTGCCACCTGGTTGTTGCACATCCTGCATTCAAATATCCATATACCCTCTGGCTGAAATAGTCCCTGTAGCTGTGGTATCCCTCCCACACTGTGCTGTGGTAGCAGAGAGACACGGACATGATAATTATAATTCTATAGACTGATTGGGCTCCTCCACTGTCTCCTACTGCCTAAAATAAGCCAAATTCACAGCACTCACTCACGCAGACGTTCAAATAGATGCAGTGGCCTCACATACACAACATGTAAATACAAGTGATAAGTGGTGGAAAACATACAGTACAGTCAATCTGTTTATATGCAATGATGAACTCGCAGGTGGAAAAAGTGGACAAGTAAAATTCCGGGCTGAATTTCAATGCTTTTGCAATCAAAATCAATGGCATGAGTAATGACACGTTTGTGTGTTTTTGTTTAAGTAAAGGAGTGAGACTGACAGAGAGTACTGGCCAAAAATAGATAGATTTTTAAATAGATACATGTTTGTTTTTGTCGAAATTACATTTAAAACGTGTGGTTGTCTGATGTTCAAGGACCAAAGCTAAATGTCTTGATTCATTCACGCACCTCTGCCTCTCTGTGACTCATAGTCTCTGTAGAGGAGACTAGTGGTCATTGAGAGAGAAACTGGTAGTTAACTAAATGTGCAGTATTTTCACCAGCTGATCGGACTGTTGATGATGGTTGTTACTACACCAATCCACTGGTTAATGCTAGTTCTCTTGCTAAATGGTTTTTTTTTTAACAGTAAACTGTAGTTTTTCATGCTATTTACATAAACTATAAAAAAAAATTTTTTTTTTTTTTTTTTTATGTATTGTGATTATTTCATGTGTATCTAATATTTTACAGATGTATTTCTTGTTCAAACAGGGTCTTGTAATCAATGTTAACTGTGAGCCATTACAGTAAATACAGTACATTATATGGTAGATTTAGTAGGTTTTCTTATTTGCTTTAATACATGGAGTCCAGTAAAGTTTAATAACCCAAAGTTAATAATGACACTCATTCACAGCGTCTGTGGTAATTTTGTTTTTGTTTTGCACATTTAACAGCCTATAGGCACAAATTCAAACAATATTGCTCCTGTCACATGGAAAGCTTCAATTATATTTTCTCATGAACTGCAGCTTTATGGTTCATTGAGTTTCCCATAGGCCATGGAAAAACATTACAAGCCTGCTGCTTTACTCTCATCAGATGATAAATATTTTAGATTGCTGTAATTGAGCTTATGGAGGGCGACAACTTGAAGCCAGAGTTTGTAGCTTTCAAACACCCAAACTGAAACACTGTTAAGCCCATTTTGACACGCATGCTTTAGCCCAGTAAGGGTGCTATAATTTACTCATTCATGAATTTCAAACTGCTATACTATCACTTTAGAGTTGATTCTGACTGCTGAATTCTCTGTGTGATTCTATTCCCGGCTGTTGCAGAACAAGAGTTATCAGGTGCAGTAAAAGAGGTCGTGGCCTTGAGACGAATGGGTTGAAAATTACAGGGTGAAAAAGCAGAGCAGTAACCGCCACGGAGTCTGAATCGCAACGAAGAGGATGAAAAGACATTGAAAGAAAAATGTGTCTCTGAATAAATTGTCTGAGGAAGATGAGGCAGACGTGAGGAGGAAGGAGTACATAAACTCAGTGAAAGAAAAGGGGGGTGGGGGGGGATTGGCTGAGCAAGGGACAAAAATGGGATGGAGGAGGAAAGAGGGGACCGAAAACATTTACATTACTACCCCAAGGCTCTTTTTGAGATTATTGCAGTGAATGTGAGCAGCTGGTAAGAGAAACCTTCAGACCTTCAGAGAGAGATCAAGACCTACTACTCCTGGCTACTGTTCTCCTCTGAGGCGATCCTCTCATTTCTCCAGTCAGTTAATATGAATGTGAATGCTGAGGACCAGATGGCCTCCTCCTCCTTTCTTCTTCCTCCATCCCTCTCCTTACACGACACTTCTTGCCTTCCCTACTTCACGGCTCCCTTACTTCCCTGGCGTGTGTGGGTGTGTGGCTGGATTTTGTGCCAGTAGCCAAACAGACTGATGCATGCTGACATTTTCTCCAGCAGAAAGAAAAGAAATTACATCGCTCTCCTCCTCCTCCTCCTCCTCCTCTCTTTCCTTGAAAGACACTGTCAGCTACGACTGGCCTTGCTAAACGGCGGCACGCACACACACACACACACACCCACACACACATACACACACACACACACACCAATTTCCCCTGCTATGACACAAATACACATACTGTATTTGTGCAACAGACTCTCTTCCTCACTTGCTGACAGGCTGGAGTCAAACCCTCTCCATCCTTGTCAGTAATGCTCTCTCTTCAGGATGTGACAGGGAGGAAACAAGGTTGAGTTGAGCTGAAGTCATGCTGTAGCTCAGGGGCAGACGAGGAGGAAATACCACCGTCCTGCTAATGTTGTTTTAAATAGCCGTGTCTTTGGGCCAGACAGCGAGTACTGCCACCACACTGTCGGTGCTGAGGAGGATCTACAAGGGCTGCTCCATTCGATTTGATGCAGTCTAATTCAATAGGATTTCATTTGAGTCTGCTGAATTAAATTTCGCAGCGTAATGAGTGATTCAATTATTTGGGGATGTGCCCTACAGTATGTCTTTCTATTAAATGCAAGTCAGCAGAGATTTGTTAAGTTCCAGGAAACTCTGCTCATGTCAAATAAAAAGTAAGCTTTGCTATTAGCAAGGGAAATGTATGTGTGTAGTAGGAACATCATTTAATACCACATGCAGCTCCAACACCTTTTTCCTCCTGTAGCTAGATTATTTAAACATTTCAACATCCTGATGGATGATCAGTAAAGACGCAAACTGTCCACCAGCTCCGATTCCATCAGGGGACTGTTGTAGGCCGTCGTACCATTCTCTCCACCCATTGTCCTCATTGTTGATCTCTTTGCTATCACCTGTCTAATGAAGGGGAAATGCCAAGATAATATTTGTTTAGAAAAGTTAATTAAAAACTGTAACTACATGCAAGACTACACCATTCTTTCACATGACACATTTGTACATTGTAAGTCAGTCACAAGATTGACATGCTGCACCTTGATCACAGAGATCAATTTCAAATGACATATTTGGCTTATATATGTATTCCAACCTATATGAGCTATATTATTTGTGTAGCTGTGGAAACTGGTCCAATGCTGAATTTGAGACCTGCTCTTCCCCCCTATGCCTTTCATTTTTTCATTTCAAGTTTGTATTTAAGCTTTTTCCTCCCAGTTCTTTTCCTGCCTTGTTTTTCATAACTCTTTGCCCCGTCGCTTTCCCCTGCTGCTTCTTTTGTTTCTCAAACAGCTTTTTAGTCTTTTCTTTCGTCTCACAGATTTGTCTCCCTCTGTTGACATAGCAGACATATCCCGCTGATGTAAACTAGTGTAAGGATTAGTACAGCCATCAGGGACTCCTAATGACAAGATCAAAACACAAACTCTACACCACACACACACAGTCTCATTTTTCCTTCTCTAACTTCTGTATGTGTTTCCATTTTTTTTATTCTCCAGATTCTGAGTAATAGGAAAGGTCTGCTACCAGAACCCAACTTAGCACAGCTGTTGACCAGTATGACCAACCCTGCTGCCCTGCAGATCCTTATGAGGCCGTACCACAGTGGTAAAAGAGGAGGTATGACTGTGAATTACAGTCGCGAGAGCTGCTGCATGGCGCATGGATCATCATGGATTTTCACTCGGTTTTAAGTCTTACAACTAATACCCCAGAAGTTATGATATACAGTCATTATATTAAAGGTGCAATGTGTCACGCGCCAAGCATTTTCTGCCTGCAAACTCTGTTTCGCAAGTCTCTGCATTCAGACACAGGCTTGCAAGCTCCCTTTAACAAACTGTGCGTCAAAAATACTTGGGTGCGTGTGCAAGTATTTGTACCGCTGGGGTTTACACATGCTGAATTTGAGTTGAAACACAGCCACTAACCTCCTCGGAAGTAGTACCCTTCTCATTTCTAATACTTTCTAATCGATTTAAACCAATACACAAACGTAAAAACGTATATGGACCAGGGATGTATTGTTGACAAACCTTGGGGCAGCTCTTCTTCTACTTCTTCGTTCTCTCTTGTTCTACTGAGGGCAGACTCGACACTACAGTGACTCAGTATCGCCTCTCGAAGTATAAGTGGCATTACAAGACTCGACGGGCCGGGGTTAGCTGGTTAGCGTGCTCATTAAACTAAACCTCTCTGCAATACAATACATAGATGTCTTTGACATAACATCAAAACTCTTAATGTATCGCATTCTGTTGATGATGTACATTTTTTTAATTTTAATAAGCCTTATCTTACACATTACACTTTTAACAGTTTGAGTTTGTAATGCACCCAATCATTTTTTGAGGATTTCTTTTAGCCCGCTGAATTATGCATAGTGACAATTCATCAGCATATGTCATGTATCGTACAATACCTTGGGCTATTAGTGTGCAACGACCATGTGCTAGCTTGCCCTGACATACTTTATCTAGAGCGGAATGGATGGGAGTGCACTAGAGAGTTGATAGAGATCGACTGACACAACAGAAGTCAGTGTCACGCATGCCTTCAAAGATATCGGTTTGGTCTGAAAAACAAATAAGCACCTGTACAATAAAATGACAGCAGTGTGAGAAACCATACAATTGCCCTGATGTAACATCTGCAGAGGAAGTCTGTGAATGTAGCTTTAAAGCGCTGGGAGGACGTTAGTAATTGGACCTTGATTCAAGATTTCTTTGTCAAACACAAAACATGATTCACTTTTTAGATGTTTAAATTGAAGACCATTATGCTGTACTTGTTTCTATTGTGTTTTTTTTATCATAAATTGTGTTTGCAGCTGGCGCAGGTCCCTTAGTAACATGAAAAAAATAGTATATTATATCAAAATTACATGTACTGCACATTTTGAGAGATTTTACAACAAATCAGCGTCCTGAACTCAATCCTTTGATTAGTCTTTCGGCTCCAGAGGTGTCTTGGATAATAATCAGAGAACCACTGTAAGAGCCTGTCCCTCTGTTAGGCACTCCTATACTCTGTAATCACCTCGTCGACGGCTTCATTATTTGATGAATGGCTAATCAGGTATTAAAATGAAATCATGTGACATTAGTTGAACAAATGAGAACAGGAAGGGGAGAAGATGGGGGAGGTGGGGGGAAAGCTCTCTTAAAAAGAGCACACGCAATTAAAGTCTAAAATTAGCATCGTGATTAAATGTTAAACTTTCTCCACCTAGTCTGGAGGAAGCTACCATTAGCATTGACTTTTACATTAATTACGAGGAGGCCTTCAGAGGAGAAATAGACACTTGCATAAAAAACCCAAAGGATTGTGTGTGTACTCTGTTTGTGCATATAGGTGTAGGGTGAGAGAAGCCTTGCTGGTATGAATCCCGAAACAGAGAAAACGTATTGAAATGTGCGAATGTGGGCGAACCCTCCGAAATTATAGAAATCGATTTACACTTCTTTTTTACGCTGTAGCTTAAACCAGCAAGCCAAACTAGTTATAATAAATGAATGTTAGTCAATGGAAACTTACTTGTTGTTGTTATGGGAATTCGGTAAGCAAGAGTATTGATTTTGCTGCGTCCACTGGAAAATACAGTGTAACTGCTCATTTTCAACGTTCAAATTATTCCACATTACAAAGAAAAACACCAGGTGTTGAAACAGTTGTACCGACCCAATAGTTGGCTGTACATCTTCTTCCTCTAGACTTGATCAGCATTAACACAGTTTTAACCATTTAATTACATTCCTCAGTAGCCATGTTGTCTTTATCACAGCTATGCATCGAGCTAAAGACGCAGTTGGCTTTTGAGGTTTTTACTTGAAGTAAAACTGAGAAAGCAAATTCAATGATAGGCATTGCAAGTCATTACAAATCAGAGAACGACGAGATTCCATAAACAAGAGTAGGACCAACAACTGAATACAAACAGTTGCAAGTTGCAAGAAAACTATAAGATTAGATACTTTAACTCTCATGCCTGAATAAGCACAGTGTCATCGGTTAATGATCAACATTAAATCCCAGTAGGAAGTGCAGCAGAGTAATTAATGTAGTAAACATACACAAAGAGTACACAATAGTAAACAGCTAATAGTCAATCCAACAGTAAATTACAACCGTAAACAGTCCTTCAACATCAGTCATTTGGGGAGTAGATAATAGATGTCCTCACAGATCTAACAAAATGGTGAATGTAACAATATCAGTTCAACTGCTAAATGTTGCTATAGTAAGAGAACACTCTTACATTTGAGCATTGTATAGATACAGACAAGTACTTCTTGAATTATGAAAAACAACCACGGAGATGCTGAAGCTGGAGTCTGTCTCTGAGTCAGTACACTTAATAAAGACAGACTGTTTGAAGTTTTCTTTCTGTGCTTTTCTTCTCTGTATTGATTGTTTTTGTTTGTCTGAGCTTCCTTTCAATTGCGTCTTCAACTGCAAAATGAGGTTTAAACTTGGATAAAGTTATGAGGGAGGGAGTTAGCTTTGTACTAACATAATATCCCGATATTGCTTTACTCGTGCTTGTTATAAAACAGAAAGACGCATGATTGTTTGAAATGTGCTATAAAGAACTGATGGATTGGTTGTCTGACTAGTAATTCAGCTCGTGGAGAAGATGATTGATTAATACATTAGTGGAAACTAAAGCACAAGCACTGATGTTTTTATTTGTTTGTGTTTTTAGGGAAGTACGGGCGTCACACCAGCCTGCCGTTCCTCAGACCTCCTCTCACCACCGCTCTGCTCACACTGGGAAAAGCACACCAGGTCCTAATAACACTAACGCCTTTTTGGTATTATTTTTGTGTGTCTCTGTGTGTGTTGATGTGTTTGTTACAATAATGTCTATTTATCTTTACCTTGCAGAATGCTATGCTGGGTAATGGACTAGTCCTCCAGAACCTCCTGCATATGCAGCTCGCACAGCAACAGCTTCTTCACATCAAAGACAAACGCATCAGCAGCGTAAGACACCGGTTTGTGTTTGTGTGTGTGTGTTTGATCATTTGCATAGGTTAGTGGTGAGGGTTAGACATAGTTGTGGGTACGTGTATATGTGCTCTTACATTCTCACCTTCAGCACTTGATGCACGATGACACTAAACAACCTCGAAAATCCTGCAACCTAATTGCTTCTTTTCAGTTTAAAAGCAAGACCTTGCAGCGTTGCAGTTTTCCCTCTACGTTTTGATAGCATATTTTAAAATGTCTTTGTTTTCATTAATTGGTGATGTGACTGTTAAAAGTAGCAGGGGCTGACATTTGGTATACTTGATGTTGTTTTAGAAACTGTCTGACAATTCAGAATCCAGATTATGAGAATCCTGTTTACACTTTTTATCCAGTACATTTGCTGGCTTTTTTTTTTTAATGTTGCTCTCTAAATAATATATGCATTTGTAATGGTGTAGAGGAGAATGTTTAAAAGGAGAAAATATAATGATGATGCATACTGTAAACATTTAACGTACAGTTATTTTCTTCTGTCATCTAATTTATACTGTATGCTTCTTTCTCGACATAATCTCTAATATTACATACCTCCTTCTCTCCTCCACAGGTCTCCAGTCTGCTCGGGGACCCGTCCAGGCTGCTGATGCAGAAAGCTTTGTCTCTGCGGCATCCGGGCCTTGTGCAGCTGGGGAAAGGCCTCCTGGGAGACTCGCCTACAGGTGAGCCGGGCCGAGCATCGTCCAATGACTTGGTGCCATTAATGCGAACTAATGAGACCATAGTGAGACCTGCAGTGCACCTCTCACCAGTGTTACTGGTAATGCTGCGTTCATCACATTCATTTTAGTTTACTTCCCGTTCTTTAGTCATTTGCCATTGTAAGAGCATCTGAAAACGTCCGATTAATTAGTTCTGCAATAACGTTGTTGTTTAAAATGGAAATTATATATCGCAGATACGAGCAGTTGTGTGTGTGTGTTGAAGTATTTGTGTGTCCCTCTTTGATTGTGTGTGTGTGTGTGTGTGTGTGTGTGTGTGTGTGTGTGTGTGTGT